TGGCTCCCATGTGGTCATGCAGCATGATGCATATGCACATACTCCTCTTATTTTTAATTTCTGCAGTGTGTAGGCTGGACAGTCTTAATTAATGAAGAATTGCATGATAATTTGTCTCCACTCTTCAGTGGGTTGCTTCAGGCTTACTTGCTGCCCACTATCTCAGCCCCCCTCTGCAGTGGGAGTTAAGAACCAAGCAGGGTTTTTTGTGAAGCTTATCCCAAAACAACTTTCTCAATAATGCAGTTAAGGGGATTATTAACCTCTTTTTTTTGTAAGTAGGAAACGGAGCCTAATTGTCTCCATTTTAAATATTACATTAAAAATGCTGGTTCATTCTTTGTGTTCAGTTTGACTTCCTCATCTTCAGCTGCACCTGAAGCACTGCTGGTCACAAACTCCACCTGTCAAGTTGGGCACTCATAAGCATATTGCATAAGAGGGATTATTTACAATGGATTATCCATATTTGCAGGCAGCACTAAGCACTCGAAGCAAGTATAGAACCTAATTGTAGTGCCAAAATTCAGCTGGTTTTTTATCCACCAGATTCTTTGGATGAAACCTACTGGGTACAGATGGATTAGATACTTCACCAGAGCATGAGAAAGTACTTTGATAAGTATTTGCTTTGGCAACTGGAGTTTTGGACTTAGAACCCCTGATTTCTGGAGGTTTTCTTTGGTGGCCCCCAGGTCCTCTGCCTGTCTTGTCTAATTTCTGCCAGTCCCATGTCTTCCTGGCCTGTTGTCCCCAAAGGAACACCAAACAGATGAGGAACTCAGCAACATCTCCCTGCTCCACTCAGGATCCTGTGGGGGCAGTGAAGGTTCCACCTCTGTGTCTGACTTGTTAAAGATTCTGATTCCAGTCATTTTCTGGACTTGTGTGCAAATGTCAGGTTTTTAGAAGGTTAATACTTTGGCTCAATTTCACTGTATTTTTACCAGAGAGAGAAACCATCAAACCTCTGGCAACAAATTGCTCTGCAGCTGACATTGAAGTGCATGTTCCAGACGAGCCCTGACCAAAGGAATTGAGAAGCAGTCAGTGGGAAATTTCTCCATGAACTCTTCAGAAGTTTGTCAGAATGTTTAAGTATTGGAAAACAGAGTTTGCCAAAGGGGAGTGTTACAGTACCTTAATAGCAGTTAGGGCTACCAGCCATGCCTGTAAGAGATGTTGTATGAGTTGTATGAGTTAGTTACCCCAAAATGACTGGGGGGTTGACCCTGGCTGGGTGTCAGGTGCCACCAAAGCCACTCTGTCACTGCCTCCTCAGCTGTTTGGGGAGAGAAAATACAGTGAAACATTTGTGGGACAGGATAAGGACAGGGGGAGATCAGTCAGCAGGTACTGACACAGCAAAACAGGCTCAGCTGGGGGAAATCACCATTTTATTACCAATCAAATCAGAGTAGGATAATGAGAAATAAAAACTGAATCTTAAAACACCTTTTCCTCACCCCTCCCTTCTTCCTGGGCTTTCCTTTACTCTCAACTTTCTCTCCCTCCTCCCCTGAGCAGTGCAGGGGGCTGTGGGCAGTTCATCCCCTCTTGTCTCTGCTGCTGCTTCCCCCTCAGTGGAGGATCCTCACACTCTTCCCCTGCTCCATTGGGGTCCCCCCCATGGGGTACAGTCAGTCAGGCACTGTCTGTTCAGGAAATGGGGGAAGCTTCTGGCAGCTCCTCACAGAAGCCAACCCTGTAGTCCCCTCTCCCCCCAAAACCTGGCCATGCCAACCCAGTACAAGTGAGCTCCCAGATTTGACCTTTAGCTTCTGCTTCTGCCATCCCTTTCCTTTAGTTTTCTCTGTTAAGCAGTGTCTTTGATTGTTTGAGGCAGCTCAGATGGCATTTTAGCATTGCCTGTGTTGTTTATAAGAAGTCTTCTGGATTAATGATTAGAAAAAAAATGGAATTTATTTCAGATTTTGCAAATTTAAATCTAAACTCGAAGGTCATATTCTGTTAAAATGGAGTTTTACATAATACTTAGTGAAGCCATGTATTGGAAGACATGTAAAGAGATGTCATGTGTGTTGTGATAAACCTGGCCCTGCTTTTGTGTTCATGTTTGTTCAGATGCTGCTGCAGTGTTTTCTTTTCTTTTGTGGCTGAAAGTGGCCAAGTTTATTGACAGGACTGCTCATGACAAACAGATGCAACACACTTGTCAAAGGTGAGCTCTCTTGCTTCATAGAGCAGAGAGTGCTGCTGGTACCTGGAGTGTTCCTCAGTGGGTGCTTCTGTAGCACAAACCACAAGTGTATCACGAGCCTGTGCCCAAGGATTCACATACTGACTGTGGCAGTTTAAATTGCCTTGGTTTGATAAGGCTGTGAATGCCAGCTCAGATCTGTGTGTGACAGGCATCCTCCAGTGTCCCTGTGGAGATGGGGAGTGGGTTTTATATATATATATATCTATATCTCCTGTGTTCATTCATGTTCTATTCTCCTGCCTCTTGATGTCTGAGCACAGGGCAAAAGCCTCTCTAACATGACTTTTGTGTATTTAGGAAATGTAAAAATATCTGATGTCTAATAAAAAATAATAGTTACATTTGAAAATGTGGTTCTTTCTAACCCTCTCGGTAATTTTGGGATTTAATAGCGTCCTACCAAACCTCAGCAGTTTTTCTTTAAGGAACATCATAAGTTCTTTTATATTGTTGCAGTGGGAGCTTGACACATTGGGTTATGTTTTTTTTGTTTAATGCAATGCTGATAATTTTTTTTTTCTTTTTGATTGATTCCACATGAGATCTGTTTACAGCTTTCCCTTCCTAGAAAACACAGCTTTTTGTTTCTAAATATTTTTTACGTGTTCTTCTTGAAGCGTTTGTGTTGGGAGTCCTTGGAGTGTCTTCTGGCAACTTGTAGCTGTCATTTGAAGATCATTTCCATGATACTTAAGAATTTCTCCAGGCTAGTTCCTTGTTCTGTTTCTCATCCCCTCGTTTCATACTTACCTTTTTAACACTCAGGAGTTTTGGAACCACGTTAGGAGACTATTGCATTACTTTGTTTGCAGTTCTCTGCTACTGAGGCTTTTTCTTCATGTGCAACACATTAATGGATTTTACTGCCAAAAGGCTTTTGTCACTATTGATTTTTAAAACTGAGGGGGAATTTAGTCTTCAAGTTGCACAGTTTGCTGTGGTCTGGCACAGTGGAACACATAGTTTGATAATATTATGATAGTAAAATTTTCTATTTTAATCCTGTACAGTGCAGTTTTCAGGTATGTTCCTCTGATGAATGGTGGGCATTTATTATTCTCCAGCTCACGGTCTCACCATGTGTTTGTGGATTTCTGGCTGCAGATTTTGCCTGGAACTGAGTAGCTGGCAGAAGTGTTCCTGGTTATCTGCTAGTTCTGTAAATCCTCACCTCTGGAAGCATGTACTGATAAGAAAGGGAGCAGATATCCCAGGTCTGCTGTATTTTTGGGTTGGAAACACTGGTTATAAGCAAATGAACAAGATACACAATATTTATATTTTTAAAGGCGAACATTCATCAGGTAAATATAGTTTTATTCTACCCGTATTTTAAAATTAAAACAAGTGGCCATTTTTAGAATGGAGAGAAGAGGTGGGGGTATTTGAAACAGGAAAAACTTATGTGATCCCTCTTCCAAAAAAAAAACCCAGACAAGTCTTTCTCTTCAGGATGGTGCTGTTTATTGCCTCTAGGCTGTCTCACTATGGAAGGCAACCCTAGCCAAGATTTTAAAAATCTTGAAAGCTTTACATACAACAACAAACAAAAAAAAGGTTTTGTTCAGATGTCAGGTAGATTTATTTGATTTGGTTTTTTTCCTCCTTTTTTTCCCCAAGTACAGAAGATTGATATCCAGTAGAAGATGTTACTGGACTGATTTGTAAGGAATGCTTGGGGCTTTGAATGCCTGCCTGGGCCTCTGCTGCTTTTGGAGATCTCTTGGAGTATGCTGGATGTTCTGTGAAGAAGTATTTTATGTAGGTTTAGTAAGCAGTGTAAGAATCTAAAATAAGCAGGTTTTTTAAAAAAATATTAATTATAGGGACATAGAAATTAAAATGTAAAGCAAGGGAAATTAGTTTTATCTTGTGGGAAACAATTTTATCCATGATTTATTACTCCATCCACTTAGAAAATTTGTCTTTTCTAAGTGTGTGTTTGAATGTAAATCTTAATAAATGCGAGTTATAAGAGACCAGTGTGACCTCCCTTTTTAATAATGAGTGGTTCTTGTTTTGTCACTGTTGCCACACTGTGTGCTATATTTCTTTCTTAATGGTATTTACCTTCCTGTAGAATTAAATAACTCTTCTGGAGACATTTTTTGTTTCTAAATCTTGTCCTTTTATATCATTGAAACAAATAAAAAAATAATTAATGTGTTTGCTGCATGAGACAATTTCCTGAGCTGCAGAGTGTGGCACTGAGCGAGAGCCTGTGAGTCAGTCGTGTTCCTTTGTCTGCACTTCCCAGTCCAGGTGCTGTCTGATTCCAGAGCGTTGGTTCTGTGACAGAGGTTCTCCAAATGCTCAGACTTCATTTCTGTGCGAGTTCGTTTCCTGCATAATCCAATCTGAAATTATTTTCAAGGTATTTTTCTGCTCTCTGAATTTTCTCTCCATATGAATTGTCTTAAAGAAAAAAGCACTGGAAGAGGCCAGTAAATACCAAGAGGACCGGCACGTGTTCCTGGCAATGATGAACTCAAATATTGATGAATACTGACGTGTAAATATTACAACTGAACTAATGCATCAATTTTTTGCAGGTCACATCCGTTTTTTCTAATCTTTTGGGAGAAATACTGAAAACTTATTGAATGCAAGAGCTCACTTTTCCATTATTTGCGAATATATGTTTAAGAACACATTACTGGTTTGGACTTTTTTCTTTTCCCCCAGCACTAAAATGATTATTCCTTAATAAGAAGTCTTGGAGATGGAGTTAGTAAGGAGAGGGGATAAAACCAAACGCTGTTTTTCCTTTTCCCAGCAGCCGACGTCCGTGGCCACGTCCACCGTCCGCCTGGGCCTCCCAGTGCAGGCCAAGGTGGTGCAGCCGCCGGCTGCGCCCGCCAGCGCCGCTGCCACGCTGCCAGGGGGGGCTGTGCTGGCACACACCACGGTGAGAGGGCACGGGCAGCTGAGAACGGGGCAGGAAAAGGGCTGGGGGTGGGTGGGATACAGCCAGGAACCTTTTTGGGGAGGCCATCGGGGATTGTAGTGGTAGGATGAGTTTGGAGCAAAGGAGTGGAAATTTAGGTTTGATGTACGGGTGAAATCCTTCCCTGTGAGGGTGGGCAGGCCCTGGCACAGGTTGCCCAGAGAAGCTGTGGCTGCCCCATCCCTGGAAGTGTCCAAGGCCAGGTTGGACGGGGCTTGGAGCAACCTGGGCTAGTGGAAGGTGTCCCTGCCCATGGCAGGGGGTGGGACTGGATGAGCTTTAACTTTCTTTCTCACCCATTCTATGCTTTTGCAACACTGTTCTCTGGAATTTCATTTTAAGAGAAGAAGTGAAATGCTTAACACTGATGGGCAATAATGGAGGCTCACTTGTGTAGCGTTTTTCTGACAGTCATTTAAAAATTATCAGGGGGGTGGAACAAGGTGAGCTTTAAGTTCCCTTCCGACTCAAACCATTCCATGATTTTATGCTTTACATGGGTTTTTGGAAAATGAATTTTAATGTTCATATCTTTCCTTTTATTGCCAGTGTAATCCCAGAAATTAATAATGAATGTACGGTCAGACTTCATTATGCAGGCCCTGAGGGATAGCCTAGGCTTTATTTTCTCCCATTTCCTAGATGATAACAAGTGTGAGGGTAGTATAGATTGAGCTTTTTTAAAGAAAAAGCTCCAGTGAGGTGGAGTTGTAGATCCTGTTTCAGTGATGGACATACTGCGTGTGCCCAGCTGGCCCAGGACAGCTTTGTTCACCAGAGCTGTGCAAAAGTGCTGGCTCAGATGGCCTGGGAAGCTGCCTTAGTGCTTTTGTGTCCTCTGGCTCTGAGCTGGCACTGCAACTGTGGGATGGAAGCTGTAAACCTGATGGCACGACCACAGATGGTTGGGAATGGACTCATTCATATTAAGGGCCAGTTCTACAGAAAGTTGAGTGTCAGAAGTCACCCCATCGTAGTAATCTTAAATGTTTGGGTGATAGCAACTGATTTTATGGTGGTACATTTATTTGTGTAATAGAAGGGACTTTAAATGAGGACCTGCACTGGTCAGGAAAGGGTGACAAAATTAGGATTATAATAAATAAATGAAGTCAATAGTTTTATTTTGTCAGTAAGGCTGTACTTGAAAGGAAACAAGTTTTTCCTTTCAGGAGCTTTAAGGTTGAGTCAAATAATCAAAATAACGACCTGTTTTTTCAATATGAAATGTCAATAGGTATCAGTAGCTACGACAAGTGCTCAAAATTTGTTCAAGACGACAGTAGCAACTGGAACTTCAGTTTCTCAACAGCCTGCAGTGCTCACTGGTGGACAGACTCAAGGCTCAGCACAGACCCAGGGTCAGCCCCGGCTGCCGCTGCCACCTCACACAGCAGCACAAGTGCCAGCACAGCCCCTGGTCATCCCCAGCTCTCCTGTGCCTGGAACCACAGTTGTGTCCCAGGCAAGTGTTCACATCCTGCATGCATCGTTTTCTTGGTGCTTTGGGAACGACTGGGGTCTGATTTCTGATTTGATTTTACTGCTGCAGCTGCTTTGCACAAAAATACACTGAATTATTGAACGAATCAGGATAGCTTGGGCAACGTTTGTACCTTGTGTATTGGGCATCTCAAAGGGGAACGCATCTCCAACAAATTGTTGTCTTACTTCTCATGTTTAAGGTTATTTTTACCAAAGCAGCCTGTAAAATATAGAAGATATTTCTTTCATTGCTTTTTGCTGTTTTTATTTGTGAGCTGTGATGTTCAGTCACAGGAAGAAGTGAAGAAAGTATCAGGTAACTTGCAGCCATGGCAGAACAGCTGCAGATTTATTTCACATGTGCCCTGTCTCAATTTTTAAAATGTCATCATTTTCCTTATTTGTGGTGGTCAGAGCATGCACTGATCCTGATGCAAAAGTAGCATGGATCTGATATTTGTTTTCTTTGGCTTTTGCAGGAAATGCAAGAGAATGTGAAAAAATGCAAAAACTTTTTAGCTACCCTTATAAAACTTGCTTCTCATAATTCACCATCTCCAGAAACGTCCCGCAATGTGAAAGCTCTGGTTCAAGATTTGTTGGTAAATATTTAGTTTTCTTTTGTCAGTTATCTATTGAGCTTGTTATTTACATAGGCTGAAAATTATTGCTGTGATTTAGTTCTTTTGGCTGTAATGAAAGGGAAAGGAGTTGAACTCCATCAGAATGTGAGTGTTCTGTATGTTCCATGTCTTCAAGAAGCTGTTAAAGGCAGCCTTTCTCTTAGTTTCTGAAAGGGGAACTGCAGCAAAGTATTTAGGATGCATCTGTCAAAAACTCTGTTGTTTTGGTGGGGAATATGTTGGTCATTTCTTTAGAAAACCAGAGTAAAATACAGGATTTTTCCTTGAGGGTTCATTAAGTTTCTTTTCCTCCAAGCCATGGTCTTCCCTGACACAGTGAGAAGCTGTTAATTGTTTTAAGCACAGATGTGCTTAAAATATCTACATGTGGATGTAGATATGGGCCTTCACAAGGTGGGTTAGACTTTCCAGGACTGAAGGAGAAGTGTTTTGCTGAGCTGCTGAGTCTGGACTTGCTGCAGTCCCCAGTAAAACAGATGTTTCAGTGAACTGTGTCGATGAGGTCCAGGCAGATGTTACTGTGGAACTGGAAAAATGGTCAAGCTTCTTAAAAAGAAATGAAATATAGTCAATGAAGAGGCTGGATTTAAAAGTAGTTGCTATATATTTCTCTGAATATGTTGCCAGAGAAACCTGTGTATTTTATACAAGCCTAAGACTGCTTTCAAGTGTGAGCCACTCAACAATCATGTTCAGTGGTTACAGTAAAAACTCGTTACCTTTGCAATCTTGGAAATATTAAATAACTAGAGGTAGCTACTTACTCTATTTTAAGCAAAGTAGCAACACACATATAGAATAAATACATTTATTGACGCTTGTTTGCTTTGTTTTTTTCTCTTGTTTACAGATTGATTCTGTATCAGTCCAGGAAAGCTAATGAATGGTTTTATTACAGCTGAGGTTGTAACTAGTGATACTTCAGAAATATTATAAAATGCACCTGAGTTATAGAGTTCTCCTGTATTAACTGCAAAATAAACTACTGATTATGTATTTGATATATTTATAAGTGTATATTTTGTGAATATATAGACATATTCATACATACTGGCAGTTTTGTAGTTACTTATATATGTACTTTTTATATGTGCCTATGCTTTACATGTATAGTTTTATATATACACGTTCTACTAAGTCAAATTGTACCATCAGAATTGGCTTTGGAATTAAGCATTTAATATTTTCTTATTACAAGGCCTGACAAATTTTACAATAGTTTGTAATGTTACTTCAACAACCTGTTGTTTTTGTTTTCTTTTAATTTTAAAAAACAAATCACTCTGTAAATGTTAGCAGAAGAATGGAATCCCAAAAGAGGCTTGGGCGTATTTGGGGTCTTCTTGTATCTGGAATGGTGCATCCCAGGGGAACTCCCTGAATGTTGAGTGGGATGTTACGTGTGTGAATTGGCTCTTGACAGAAGGATCTTAGAGAGGAGTTGAGGGATTTCAGCTTCAGAAGTTCTACTTGATATGGCTACCTTTTCAGCTAGAGATAAATGTGTATATTTTAGCTGGGAAAGAAACAACCAACCAACTCAACTGAGTTGTTGATGCTTTTTTTTTTCTTCCCCCGAAGGATGCAAAGATTGATCCAGAAGAATTTACAGGCCGCCTTCAAACAGAACTCAAATCATCTCCTCAGCCATATCTCGTACCTTTCCTTAAGGTAATGTGGATGTTGTTTGGAGCAATCTGTTTCAGTGCAAATTTCTGTACACTGAGCCTTAGAATATCTTATTTAAAGTGGTGTTTGCCTGTCCTACCTAGAGCAACACTACTCCCTTTTTACTTCCTGCTGCCCATTTCTGCCCCAGTGCTCTTGGCTGGCAGTCCCTTGCAGGCTCCCTCTCGGTTATTCCAGCCAGGAGCTGCTCCCTGGCAGGCTGGGAGAACAGTGAGGAACAGGGAGATCCTACAGGAGGGCAGCACCTCGTGTTTAGGGTCTTGGCTTAGGTTTAAGAACAATGCATTTGTCATCCAGAGCTGATCTGGAGTTCATGGCTTGAGTAGCTCTGACCTAGAACATTGCAGTAATTAGATTTATATAAAAAGCAGTTACTCTCTAGTTTGGAAATCACCCATTGGCTATTCTGTAGTGATCCTTTACTTTTATAGAAAGTACACTCTTCTGTGGTAGTAGGTAATTTTTTGGGAAGAAGTAGAGCATTCACATTTGGAGGAGTGAGAAGTTATTTCTACAGAACACTTCAAGTGTTTATTTAATAAGCTTTTCCATATTGCTTTTGTTATCCATGTTTGGGTCATTGTTGACTTGCAATCCACGTGTAACAATGATTATGAAAAACTAAAATGGATAATGGTGTTGAAATAATTGATTAGATGATCCTGCTTGTAATCTGGAACGAATCAGCAGTATAATTTCTGATGTGATACCAAGTGGATTGATTGTTGGGTCCTAAGTTAGTATACAAGGGGATAAAATTAACTTTTAATTGGTTCTATACATTAGCTACAATAACTGCAAGATTGTATTCAAACATACAAAACATGTTTAATTATGTCCCAACAAAGCCACAAATACAATTTTTAAAGCATTTTTCATCTAGTTCAAAACTCCTCTGTTTAGGGCAGATTTCCTCTTTTCTCCTGCAACTTTTCTTCAGAACTTTCTCCCTCTGCTTCTGTGTTTTCAAGTTATCATTGACCCTTATTTGTGCCTTTTCACTGCAGTCACTGCAGTCACTTCTGGCATCATGATAAGTTTTGACTTGTCTCCTTTCTTTGAAGTCCCTTCTTGGCAACAGGCATGAAGTTTTTAAATAAATGTGATAAATTTAGGAAGAACTGTAACTTGGGCTAAACACTGTTGCATTCTACAGCTGCCTGGGGGGGAGCACTTCAAAACAACACTACTGCCACTTAAAAAGTAAGAAGTCTGTTCCTGCAGGTACAGGATAGCCTTGCAGAACTGTAGTTTTTGTTGGAGTGGTTTGAACATGAAGGATACAATGGTACACTTTTCTAATCCAGAGTACCTGAGATCTGTAATAATACAGACAAAAGCTGTTGCTGCAGGACATCAGCAGTTAAGTCACCTTGTTCTGGGTACTGGAGGCACGTCAGGAGAAGTAAAGTGCAGCTTGCTTCTTCTAACATGCAGTGGGAATGGGGTTCTTCCCACAGCTCAGCCTTTTCTGGTTCCAGTTTTGCCCTTCCAAAGGCCTAAGCTACAAGTTCTAGATAGTCTGGAGAAGGAGAATGTTATGTTTTACTGCTGCAGTGGAGTTCAGGGCACATGAAAATCTACAGGTGTTGCAAAATCCAAATTGCGAGCTTATTAAAAATGTAAACTGAGCTTTCTCTCCTACAAAATGTGTTCAGTCTCAGTTCTGTTTGCTGAGTAGGCCGACAGTAAAATTGGAAAGAAAGTTGCATTCTTTTAGTTGTGTTTGTAGCAAATTTCAAAATATTTTTGTGCCAACCTGCTAAGTTTGCTGTTTCATAAACTCTCTTCTGTTTTCAGAAAAGTCTACCTGCATTGAGACAATCTCTACTGAACAGTCAGCATTTGGTTTTGCAAGGACAGCCGTCTCAGCAGCCACTTCAACAAAGCAAGCTCTCACAAGTGATACCTCAGTCTGCCTCGGGAAGCATCTCCTCTGTTGTCAGCACACAGACAATAGGAATAAGGCAACCAAACAACATTTGCACAGTCTCTGTATCAAATACAGTGCAGCCTCCTCAGGTTAAGGTGGTACAGTCAAATCAGAGTTCTCAACTGGTAGGTACTGTAGCATAAAAGAGAATTTCTTCGTGAACTGTGTAGCAGTTTGCAGTGTTATTTTTATTGCAGCTTGTTTGGGAAAATACTTTGTTGCTTGCACCATATTCTGTCATCCATAGTAGCATCTCATTTTATGTCATTTCACATGTGTGCTCAACCGTTAGTTTACATAACATTATTAACAGTTTAAATGTAAGGAAGTGCACTCTTGGCCTTTTTGTCTGCAATCCATGATTGTTGTGTGAGCAGAGTGGAATCTGAGGGAATTACAAACCCAGAACAGAAAGCTTTTCAAGACTTACAAGAGGATAATGTTTAGTATGTCATTAGATATGCTGCTTTGCTTAGATTAGTCTGCATTAAAATTAACTCTCTCATTTTAGAGCTCTTCTTCACATAGTTATAAAATCTCGTAGAAGAATAGCTGTAGCAGGATGTTCTGTTTAGAATTAATGCCATTCTTTGTTACTGAAATGTATCTTTGTTGTGCATAGTGCAGTATTATGTATTTAGATTAATTAATTTCAAAGACACTATCAGTAAGACAACTGAATTTATGTAGGAGCTTGTGTGTGTGTTTCCAGCTTGAATTAAAATATGTTAAGGATCTTTACAAGGCCTTGAGTTTATACAGGTGTTATCATCCTTCAAGCAAAGATGTGAGAGTTTCTTTGTCTGTGGTTTCTGTGTTTGTATGAAGTAAAGGACTTGACTGAGGTTTCAAAACCAAATTGGCAGGTTCCAGGAGGTGTATCAAGTTGGCAAAAATTTATATTATCGAGGTTGAGAAATGCATGTATGATTATGTAAAACCTTACAGGGATCTATCCTTGAGTCTACAGGCTCTATAAAGGCTATAAATAATTTGTAGGGTGTGGGGAGAGAGAATGATTCTTGTGCTTTAATTTAAAAGTAGCAGTGCACAGTCTGAAAATGTCTGAGCCATGTCTTGAACCTTCCAAATACTTTCTAGTGGTTAAATTGCTAACTTTAAAATGAAATTAATATAATTTCATCGTCCTTTAGTGAGCATAGTTTCCATGTACTAAGGTTTCTCTGACTGTGCCTGTTGCAGTGCCCACAAGAGCTGGGTGTTTCTCACCTAACTCGGTGCTCTCTGTTCAGCCACTTGCATTCCTTCTTGTTTTAATATGGGTTCTCCCCACCCCTTCTGGATTCTTGTATAAATTAGAAGAGTGTTCCTCACACTGTGTGTGACATCTCTTTCATTTGTCCATGTTTCAGAAGACTGAATGGGCAGGAGCTTTGGCTCTTCAGGGTAGAGGGGCAGGAACTGATGGTAATTACAGTAGGTGTAAAAATTACTCCCTGTCCAGGGAAAGCAAATTTCTGACAGCAGCTGACAGATTGCTTGCAAGTGTAAACATCCATGGCCAGGAGTCTGGGCTTATGCCACAGTCTTAAGACTTTAAGGTAACAATGCTTTTCCCAGTGTTGTGCAAGCCACCTAAACACTCCTGTGCCCGTCTGGCAGTTGCACCCCACCTTCTGAGAAACACCAGCGTCCAACCAAAATGTGTAAGTCCACGGGAGTTCTTGCTCTTAGGATTGGAGTTCTTGTGGAGTATTTTCTGAATGGAAGAAAGCCATGTTTGTGGGAGAGACACCTTCTGTCTGATGTCAGGGGGTACTCAAAGCAAGCAATCATGTTAACCTGAGTGGAGATTAACAGTGTCAGCTTATTCAGCATACCTGTGCCATAGGAGGGAGCTGAGAAGTGCTCAAGTAACACATTGTGGAGGTTGATCTGATGGGCAAAACGAACTGGTTTTGTGTCTGTAAGGAGGTCACAGGTCTAGGGCTAAATTGTCATTTCCTGGGTACATGAAATGACTGCTACATTTTCTAAAGGTCACAAACCACGCAGAGCAAAACTATGCTTACTGTTCCTTTTCTAGAAAATACTTAGAGACAAGACATTAAAAAATACAATTTATTGGCTTTAGTGTAAAACTGTCTTTTCGTATTTGCTTTAAATTTAACAGTCATTAATTAATAGAACCACACATTACATTAACCAGGCACTTAATGACCCTTATAGTAGTTCTGTACAGACAAAAGCAGCATTTACACAGTGAGAGTTGCAGTTAGATGGCACAACCCCCAACTCAGGTGCTGAGCAGAGAACCCAGCAGCAGCTCGGTATCACAGTAGGGATCGTTCCCAGGGAGTGATTTTTTGCAGTGACAGTGCTCCCAGTGCTCCCAGCCCTGAGTGCTCCCCGAAATCAGAGCAGAGCCCAGAGCTCCTGGCCATCTTGCCCTGGCCTTGTCCAGGAGATGAGGATTGCAGCTGCCTTGCCTGGGGGTGGCCAGCGCTGATGGAGCAAACTGGCTGAGCTCCAGAATTTCCAAGCCTGAAGCTCACTGGAGAGAGTTCCAGCTGGCTTTGCAAACTGTCCAGCTGCAGAAGGGCAAGCCTGTTTTAGAATAGAGATCTTTTCATACCAGCCAGTTTACAGTAGTCTAGTTTCCTTTAAAATGTGGAGAATCTGTGAGCTGTTCCTTTCTTTTGACATTTCTGTTTCACGAAGGGGTCAGATGAGGTGATGCTTCCTCCAGTGGTATTGAGGTATCTTGCAGCAGGGAAATTCTGTGTACACTGTCAGCATGCAGCATAGCTTGCACAAAGGCTTTGAAATGTGAAGTATTAGTGCAGATGGAAGAGGAGAGTATTTTTTATTCATTCTGTAAAGTATTGGAATCATGTTCCGAAGTACAAAAAAGCAATGCTTGCAAGAGCTAGATAGTGCTACTTCTAGATAGACAAAAGGGGAATAATCTTAGGCTAATATTTTATTGATGAGACACTAATGAGATAAGCCAGCAATCAATTTTTTTAATTGCTCCAAGTGCAATGTTCAAAGTTGGTCTAAATTGCCATTCTTAGGGTCCATGTGCTCCACATTGCCTGTCTTGTTCTGGGTGTTACAGCAGGTACAATTTGTATGAATAAGAGGGATATTGTTATTAAATGTGTTGAAGTTGTGAGTGGATTGATGGGCAGTGGAGGTGGATTAGCACTTTACATACTGTGTTGACTCTGACTGCATCACGGGGAGAATACTCCTGGATGTTAAAACCAGTTACTAAATGTGAGTGATAAGGAAAATCAGTAAGAAAATCAGTGATTCATCTTAATTAAAACCAGTTTAATTATCTGCAAAGCTGTAGAAAGACTTGTGCAGGTCTAGGATTAGGAAGAATGTCTAGAAATACATCTGGACTGTTCTTGCTGCAGCAAATTGGGCACAGTGTCCAGAGGGGAGACTCTGCCACCTTCTGCGTTCCTTTAGAACAGGATTTGCTCAAACATTTACCAACGCTTTTCCAGGGACTGTCACAGTGCTTGGAGTCTCCCAAAAGGTGAGATGGACTAATGGAATTTGGAAACAGGATACAACAGCAGAATAAGCATTTTGTTGTATGGGGATGTTCTGCTTTGCTCTCTCTCATTCTCTGCTGAAGCTTTTCCTGGCACCAGTTTCCTGTTCATGAATGGCTGTAACGTTTACACATTTTAGTGATTCATAGGAAATCATTTGCTCTTTGTCCTATGAGCAAGGCAGCTCAGAAATGTGAGGGTAATAGATGGCTGTTTGGATAAAAGCAGTAGTTTCTGTTAATGAACTAATAAAGATCTAGTCACCGACTTAGAATTTGGTGTACAATAAAATGTAAATAAAAATGGCTGTTGAGCAGCAGGCACCTGGGATCCATTAACAGGAACAAAGCCTATACGTGACAAATTGTGTGCCTGTTTGAAATACAGCCCAGTAGTTCTCTGAGTTGTTGTCATACACTTTCAGAGTTTTGTGGGCTGTACCTTAATATAAGGAGAATATTGTCACTGGTTGCTGTTTGGAAACCAGTAACAAAAGAGCAGGAGTAAAGCAAAGACTAAAAGAAAAGCTTAAGAGAATTATTAAACACATACCACTTGGTCAAACACTGACTAAGAGGAAGAATAAAAGACCATTATTTGGAGCAGACCAAGACAGTATAAAAATGAAGCACATATAATTAAATGAAGTAGGATTTAGGTAGGATATAAGGCAAAATATCCTTAGAGTAAGACAGAATATTAGATGGTAGATCAGGCTCTCAAAGACAGTGATGAAAAAGCCATAATTAAAACCATTCAAAAATAGAGCATTTGACAAACTGTATATGAAACTGGGGAGCAAGTGGGACAAGTGATCTGGGGGCTTCTGTTTTATTTTTCTTCATTGCTTTGTTGGAAACATATACCCAATGGAACAGTGTTGTTGTCATATTAACATTAAAATTTATGTGCTGAGTTTTTAAAAAGTCAATTTTTTTTTTTTTTATTTGGGAGGAAAAATAATCTGCTTATGCAAATTTTGAGGCACTGTTGAAAAATTGTAGCTGCTACTGATACAGCATGGGGAACAATGGTAAATATGAATTCTGGGCCCATGAAAGCATGAACATTGTAAGTTAATGCTGCCAGATTACATGATAGCTGAGGTTTGATATGACATTTATCTTCAGGAGTGAGTAGACTGATAAATCACAAGTGGCATAGCCACAAGTGAGTTAGCAAGTGTTTACTCATGAGTGAAGATAAATGTCATATCAGACCACAGCCATTCTGAATTTTGTATGTTTACAAGTGTCTTGTTTCTTCCTTCCACAGTGTTGTTTTTTTAACTTAATTGAGAGGAAAAAAAATATGCTTGGTAAAGGATATATTTTTCAAATTTATTTTTATTTTCCATTCTTTGCAGAAGCTTCTGTTTCCTGTGCTTTTGTCTTTGTTGTGGTATTTGATAGGTTGAAGCTTTTGGATCAGGTGCTTTTATTGCAAAGTGTGATTTTATGTGAGTTGAGTGGGGTTGGGTTTGCAGCCCTTGTCAGGTGAAAGGAGGCATGTTGTGCACTGGGACAGGAGATTGGCTAAAGCTTCAGAAACTTCAGCAGTGAGTTCTAATCTAATTATCATAAAGGACTTCTCCCTTCAGTGGTTTGTAGGTAGTGGTTTTCATTTTATTTTGTATTTTCTTGCATGAGAAAGAGAACAGAAGTGATCAGTCTTTCTGCTTCTGTATGTTCTGTGTGCTTTGGCTGGATTCTTTCTCAGTCTGTATTTGTTGGTTATTTGTGTTGTTAATTATTGGTCTGTGTTCATGTCTGTAATTTGTTCTCTGTCCTGCAATAACTGACACAGTAGAAGATTCACACCCACCATGGAATGATCTTCACCTTCTGGTTGAGATGAGGGCCAGAGAGCACCATTACTTTAGTCTCATATAGTTATTGAATCTACAATTTTTGAAGAAGGCCTTTAAGAAAAATGAGTATTTCAACTGTCACCTCTTGTTATTCTGCTTATCAACAGTGTGACTATTAAATATCCCTTTTTTGTCTTCATGGGTCACCTTTTACAAACATCCCTTTTTATCTGTGAGAATAAATTCAGCTTTAGAGCAGGACAGGGTAGGAGTCTGAAGCATTCAGGAGGTGAGAGAAGGAACTGCTCTGGAGAAGCAGACAAAGGGTGAATCAAAGTGTCACCAGTGGAGTGGAAAGATGGCAAGGGGAGACGTGCAGAGATGAAATAAAAACAGGGAGAATGCTTTCTATTGTGAGAAATGTACATCTTATTTTGCAGAAAAATGTTATTTTGTAGAAGAAAAATTGAGGTAACTGTTCATGTACTGCACTTGGAGAACAATGCCACGACTTCCCTGCTTCAGTGGGTTTCTGAAGAGCTCCAAAGTGCAGCAACCCAGGAAATGATTCTTCAAATGTAGACTGATAAGCTGGTGTATGACAGTACTTGCTGTCTCAGCACTGTCTTGATCATAATTTTGTTTGGTAATTTTGCTGTTTTCCAAACTCATTATCAAATCCAGGCAGTGACTAAATCACATTCTGTCTTTTCTATTTTCAGTGCCTTTGTTGTTCTTGTTCTGTTGTTGTGCTTGCTGTCCTCAGTGGTGTAAATGTTTCCCTTTTTAATGGAGTGGGAATGATGAACAGCTTCTGTAAACTTTGATGACTTTTATATCCTGTCTTGTTACCTTTTCTGACTCAGCACTTTTATGACATCATTGATGATGTGATTATGGACTAGTGGTAAGAGGTTGGAAAGGACTTCTGGAGGTGTCCCATGCAGCCTCCTGCTTACAGGTTAGCATGTCTCCTGGCTGACCAGTCATGTTTTGAGTGTCTTCAAGAAGAAATGACACAACCTCTCCAGGCAACCTGTTCCAGAGCTTGCCACCCTCATGGTGATGTTTTGTTTTTCTTCTATTAAGTTGGAATTTCCCATATTCCACCTCCTGTCCTTTGTGTTCTATCTTTCTGCTCTGCACATCTGAGAGAGTCTGGCTCTGTCTTCTCTTCCCATAGCTGGTTGCAAACAGCAGTAAGATCTCCCCTTTTCTGAAGGCTGAAGTAATGTCTGATGACCTCAGTGTACTAAAACATCCACTTCTGTGTCTGCTCTATCAATCTGGGTTAGTAAATTGGTGCTTACAAGCTGATCATTTGGGATTCAGCACTGAGTCAGCATATGGAGGGATGACATGAGATGGGAGACACTCCTTGCCTGTATTTTTAGGCTGTGAGAAATATGAAATAATTGGATTAAGCTAATCATCTCCCAGACTAGCTTGGCAATACACTTGTTCATTGTCTACAACTTTCAGGCCAAGTTAAGGACATAATAGTAATGTTTATGATTTGGGGAAGATAGGCAAGAGGATTAGAAGAGTTTGAATTACCTTAACAGCTGAAGCGTGGTTTGGATTGTTCATAGATTTTAGTGCAGGATCAGTTTGCTCTGATTCATCAGTTTTTACTGTGTCCCTTGTTTGCCTGCAAAGGAGGTTCCACATTCTGTTCCAGAAACAAACTGCTAATGTTAATTCCTTAATGACTTCCAGAGCTGGAGATTGTGTCTGTGTTGAAATGTAACTCAAAACTCCAGCACAGAACCCAGGATTTAAGTTAGTGTCAAATGCTGCTCTGAGGTGTTCCTTTGAGAGACAATGTGCTGGTTGCTGATTGGTTTCTGTGTGGAATTGATGATGTTGATTTTGGTCTCTGCCCTTTGGAAACCTCATTTCTCAATTTTCTACACTTTCAGCCCTTTTACATCCGTTGAAGTCCTGGTGCAGGACTTGCTCCAGGACACTTTTAGGAATGTATTTGATAGTAAAGAAAACATTGCCATTATTTGTGTCTTCTTAAATGGTTAAACACTGTCCTGTCTTTAATGGTGTTAGTGGCTCATTTTTTAGGGCACTCACATGAAAATATTAATCAGGTGAAACAGAACTTGGTTCTGAACTGTAGGAGTTGTTTGCTTCACAGAGAGGAAAAAAAAAAATCTGCTCCCAGAAGATTCCTGTAATACCAGGTAGTAACTCTGTCCACAGGTCACACACATCTCCTTTCTGGCCTGGTAAGGTACAGCAGCTTCTCTTCACTGTGCTCTGAAAACTCATCCAATAAATTATGGTAAATGTGCAACATTCTCCTTCTTTTTCATACCAGTGTAGGTTTTTTCCCCATGGACTTTTCTACCTCTTTTCTAAAAATACACTCGTACATGTTTCCTGTGCATCAAAATGCAGTTACATTTGACTTTCCCCCTCATTTTCACTTACCAGCTCTGTTTCTTTCCTGGTTTTAAGCGTGGTAGCTAATTTGTTCTTTGCTCTCTGAGTGGGACTATTCATTCACTGCCTGTCTTGACTGAGTCAATTTACAGCCATTTGCTCCATGTCTGTGCTCAGTACAAATGCTCCATTTTCCTTCAGTGTCCATAGTTGAAGCTGAATCCTTAATCTTTTTTCCCTTTTCCCTTTCTGCAAGCTGACTGTTGCTAATACTTCTACATCCACAGGTTTATCACGACTTTTCAACTTCTAATGTTCTAGGATGTCCAAAGTGCAGTTTCATAGCCTCAGAATGGCCCTGCTTGTTTTTTCTCCAGAATACATTGCAGGTCCCTCATCCCTCTGTTCTTGTGTGGAGTTTTCACCTCTCTGCCCTCCAGTTTGGGAGCCCTGGTTCCAGCTGATGGAACAATTTCCTCTTCCCTCTGTAGCCTCTTCATCCTCTACTTTGGCATCTCATTTGAAAATGCTGTTTCTCCTTTCCTTTTCTCCAGAGGGTACTTTAAAGTCAGGGATTTGGCCAGTCGTTATTTAGCTAAATAAGCTGGGTTTAGATACATTTTTTGGGAATAATGCTGAATGGAACTGCAGTGGTTCCCACTCACTTCACACAGTGCCGTGCAGTGTGGTGGCTGAATCCAGGAGGGAATGGGACTGAGCTGGGATTGAGGAGCCCCAGACATGGAGCAGTGGGAGGATGATAGCTGTGACTGTGGCTCCTGAAGTCATAATTCCCAGGTTGTGGTTGTAATCTTTTCCCAATCTTATGTAGCTATTTGCCTGTGTTTCATGTTCAAAGTTGATTCATGGATTTTTTTTCCAGCTCTGCAGCATTCACACATCTTTTTGAATCCTCTGTTCATTGCATCTGTGCCTGCCTGGTCCCTGATCATGTGAATGTACATTTTGCTGTTGCTTAGACATGACCTTTGCAGGTGTTTTCTCTGTTATTTGATTTGTTTATGGGTCAGATTTTAAGTTTCTAACCCTGTTTCAGTTTTGGGGAAGGACTTCAAAACTTGAAAGAGTTTAATAAGTGAAACCTCGAGAATATCCAGTTAATATTTAACAGATTAGTAGTATATGATCAGCACAAAACTTGGTTTTCTTTCTTGAGTATGCCTGACTTTGGAGCCCATAATATTTTTGAATTTATTTTTAGTATATGTTTTCTTTAAAAAGCGTAGGTATGTAGTGCAAGGCCTAATGTTTGTAGGTGGATACCACTCTAAAATTAATGCAGCGTTTTCTTCTACAAAACTGCTTTTCTTCCTTGTAGAACTTCTGAAGACAAAAGTCTAAACTTTAATATTAACCTTATGACTTTGAAATATATTTTTGATGAAGGTTGTGACATATGACGTTTGTGTCGAATATTATTTGATTTTTTTTATTTTATTTTTTTTTAAAGCATAATGGCAAAATAGGTATATACACACACACACAACCACATGCATTACATGGATATGACTTTTGTCACCAGCTGGTTGTGCTTTTAGAGATCCACATGCTTGTATTGGTAATGACAGGTATTAGTGTATTTACGTTGTGTGTGTTTGTGTATAAAGAGTATAATATAAGTATACTTTTCTTTAATAATAGCAGATTATCCAGTCAACATCTGCTCAAACTGTGAAACGAACCCCTGCTTGCCAGACTACCCAGATTAGGATGCCAGTGGTAATAACTCAGACCATTAGACCACAAGGTATGGGTTTCAATGTTTTAGTGAGATTGTTTCCTTTGTATGAATTTCGTTGTCATTACACACGAGTGGCGTGGACAAACGTGCAGTGCTGACCTCGGCAACATTGTTGGCATTGATTTTTTACCTCCTGCTGGCTGAAGGGTGCATGTTTCCATCTGCAGTTTCAAGGTGTTTCAGACCAACACAGTGCAATGTTTTGAAACAGCCTTAGGACTAAACTCTCACTTGTTTAGCTCCTTACTCAGCAGTTTTTAAGGGAAAGCTCTAAAATGGTCAGGAACTTGGGTCTTGCTGTCCTAAACTGTAACTCCGGGCCAAGAAAGAAATTCTTCATTTTTCCTACCTCAATTTAATCATCCTATTTCTAATTTTTACTCCTGAAGCAGAACATGATAGTCACTGTCTCTGCAGCTGCAGAGGTCAAGGGGGGAGTCCTAGAGAAATTTCTCAAGCCTCATGGTTTATTTTTGACCCCTGCCAGTATATTCATTTTTGGTGAGGTCAGAGACTGACTTCCAGCACCTGACATCCCATAATTAGCCATGGCATGTGGTTTGTACACAGCTTCCTCACCTGTCTGTGCACAGGTGGATTCCTGACTGCCTGATCCATCCCACTTTTTGAAAGGATTCTCAAAGCCCCCTTGCTTTCTAATAAATATCCATTTGTTTCTTTCAACCACTAAACCTGCTAGGCTTGAGTTTTATTTTTCCTGAGCACGTGTGAGAATATCAGATTGGATGTGGGCATTTACCTGATTGAGGGTTTGTAATGGGATACAGAGCTTGTCATCTTCAGGTATTGAATCAGGGACCAAACGAGTTTAAATGCACATAAAAGCTATTGCTGCCTATTTGCCTTCATTGCTGGGTCGTTTGTGTTCTCCTTGGGAAAAACATCAAAACCATTTAATAGCAGCTGGTGTTTTACTTGCTCTGTTCTCTTAGGGGAATCCAAAGGTTGAATGGACATGGAGACCAAGCTGTCACTGTAATCCTGTAGTCTGTTTGTCCAAGTTAGGAAGAAATACATTTACTCCCCATAAAATGTGTGTATTTGATAGCACTGATACTCATGTCCTGAGTTCATAACATGTCCATGCATCTTATAGTAGGAGCTTTCACTTCTGACTAATGTGTCTGAGAGTGAAGGCAGATTCTATTTCTTTGCTTGTCCCCAAGCTTCAGTCCCCAAGTTGTGAATGTAACAACAGAATGCCGGGAATTTACATGATACTGGCATCTGCCTTTTAAACAGTGCATTCAGAATATGAATTTGTTCTTGATAGCCCTTGGTCAGCCAGTGCAATGCAACTTAACTGGCACTTTGGCTTAAGGTAGACACCAATTTATGCCAAGTCCTGCCTTCAGGTGAGATTACTCCAGTTTAGAAGTTTGGTTAAACCCACCACTGTATTGTTTTAATTGCACAGACAAAGCAAACAGGAACAGGCATTTAGAAAACATCCCCCTGTCCAGGCCCTGCTCCTGCAGCCCATGTGTGAGGAGAGCTGGGCCTGTGTGAGCAGCTCTGAGTCACTGCTGTGGCACTTTCCTTTTGATGTCTTGTTAAACCCTTTCACTGTAAACACCACCAGAGTGACATTTTACACTGGCCTAGGTATTCCTGCAGAAGGAGGTAATATACTGGAATAGGATATGGCCTAAATAAAAATTCCAGCAGTATAATTTTGTGGAGTGTGACTTTTTAAAGGTAGTTACAGCAGAACTGAGCTTACCTCCACAGAGCGCTGCATTTTCCTTCTGGAGAGGAGGGAATCCCCAGGTGTAATGGGCCTTTAATACATCCATATGAACAGACTGTAATGCTCTTTAAAAAAAGAGTGGTTTAGATAAAATTGGCAGGCTATAAGGACTTTTATATAAATAAAATTACTTCCACACCAGGGGAAGTGACACCATTGTTACTGCATGAAAAATTCACACTCCTTTACTGAAGCACTTACCAGTATAATAATTAAGGTGAATTGCATCTTATGGATGGAGGAATTGAGACAAAGAATAAAATAATTAGATATTCATTGCAGCCATTTAACCTGTGCTGAAATACAACTAGGAATTTATAAGCTCCTAAATTTGAGCTTATTTTTCTAGATGATGCTACTTAAAATTTGGAGCAAGGATGCAGTGGTGAAAGACTCTGTATGTCATTACCAATCCCATGAAATACCTAGGCCCACAGGTGATTTTGATTTTCAAACTTAGGCCCTGCCCCATAATGTAAATGGGTGCTGTAGCCATATTTTATGTCTGACTGCTTAATCATGCACAGTTGTGATTTACTGAGACAAGAAAACTTATAAATGTCATCCCAAAGCTTACATTTACTTTGCCAGATCCATTTGAGTAGAATTACATATGCTTGGGATGAAAGTGGGACTTAGATCTTCCATACCCAGAGCAGGCACACTGCTTTCCTGATAACTACCCTTTTGAGTTTTGGGGGGTGGGTTTTGATCAAAAATCATCATCTGTAGAAAACAAAGCATTGATACTGATTCCAAAGAAATAGAATATCAATTCTGAAGGACTGCCATTGTTGCCTTAATTTTGCCATTGTAGTATTTTTCATGGTCAGCACGCTTTTAAGCTCCTTTTAAGCTCATTGATTGTACAAAGCAGAGGTCTGCTAATTTTTATTATAGTATTATTTATTTTCTTCCAGTTCACTTAATGGAAAAGCTTTCCATTAGTTCATCTGAAGCAGATAAATGAATTGTCTGGTCCATGAACCAATGCTGTCTGTGGCATCTCATGGACCTTGAATATTCTGATGACAAAGTATTTTTATTCCCCAGGCTTGAGCCTGAAGTCCTAAATCTGGTTTTGTGTTTGCTAACACTGATAGTCCACACTCCAGTTTATTTATACAGATGGAGAACTGAACAAACACTGTCAAATTAGTTTCTCCTTAAGATCATATGTTGGAGTTGGTGAAGACTTCAATATTAAACCCCAAAGGTAATTAATACAAGACTCATTCAAAGCTAACACTTTTGTTTTAGCCAGGACGAGTTCTTACAAGGGTTTCTTGGGATAGTTGTGTTTCAGGTTTTTATAATTCATGGAAGAAAAATCCTGTAACTCTCCTGAGGTTCATACCCTGCCAGTTATGTGCAGTTGAGTCCATGAGCTGCAGGAACAGCTCCCCTGTCCTCAAATGGTGTAACACTCAGGAAAAGGGAATGATTTACAGGAAAAAGGGGAGACCTTTTAAGACAAGTAGACATGTGAGCTATTTTTACATGCCAAAACACAGGTGGGATTAAAGGAAACACAAAATATGACCCAAGTAAATGTATTTAAGCAGTAAAGGAGGGCTTACTCCAAAAGTTTCATTTGCCAATTCTTTTCAGTTAAATTCTGAGACTATGTAAATAATAATGATGATGATAATAAGTGAATTCCTAATTAGCAACATAAATATGTAATTATTTTTGGTTAGATTTTACCAAATGCCAGAGAGGAATTAAGATCCCTTTTTAATTTACTCAATGTCCACCACACTTTGGCTCATTTAGAAAGCCCAGTTTTGCTTCTACTTCAAGACCTGTAAAGTCTAGATACAGTTCTGGATTACTTTTGAATTATTGTTTTCAAGATAAGAAAGCAAAAGACAACCTTTGTGGGAGGGGTTCTGTCAAATTTGGCAATAGTGTTTTTTCTTTTACATGCAATGCAAAACATTTTAAAATTCCTGTGGTGTTTTCAACTCTGAAATAGATGTTTTTCACTGCAATAAAGAACAATTACTGTATAAAAAATGTCAAAGGCAGACTCAGTACCCTGACTGTGACTTGAAGCATCTGTATTAAGAACATTTCAAATTCTGCTTCTTTATTCTGTACAGATTATCCAGAAAAGGGGGTTACTGGCAATTCCAGGCACATTTACAGCCCTTACAAATATTAGAGCCAGTTATGGCCAATGGTTTTCAGTTTTGGAATCTTTGCTGTTCTGTAAATATTGAACAAACTGTAATGTTAATATGAATTTTGTATTTTAAATGGTTCTTCTTCAGCATGTAATCTTTAAAAATAATAACTTCCTTTGTTTGCAATTTACAGACAGTTAAATTTAGTTCCTGGACAGAAGGTTCTTTGATGTAAATTGTCTAAGACAGCTCATAATAACATTGCTTGGTGTTTTTCAGGCACAGTAGGGAAGGCACCAACAATACAAGCCAGTAAAAGTCCTGGGGGCTTTGGTGTTCAGGTCTCTGCAAATCAGAAAAACAAGCTGAATGACCCTGGAGGTGGTTCTTTCAGGTAAAAAAAGAAAAAAATAATAATAAAAAAATGCAGCGGGGTGGTTGGGGGGGATCTTAAATAGCAAATAGAATTTGGAATTGCTGTAACACCAGAGGGCAGTCTTTCACAATAATTCCTGCCTTTTCTCTCGGGATTGGATGGCAATTTTCCTACTTAATTCTATTTTAATAAAAGGGAGGGGATCGTGACATATTTGAGGATTTTTCTCTAAAAGCACAATTTAATGTTTAGCAAAGCCTTAAATTCTGTGATTATAACAAAACTTGGGCTAAATTGAATTACGTGCATGAAGATTTAAAAGAACCCCCGGTTGGTTTGCTGTGTTGGATTCAGCTGTTCCTATGGAATGTGTCTTGCTGGGAAGATCCTGGTTGTGATGACAAGGCTTCCTGGCCAAAAGCTTCTGCAGCCAGGCTGCAGCTTCCCCTCAGCAGCACAGGGGAAATCCTGCCTGGTTTGGGGGGGATTTACTGTGTGTGTGGATTATTGTGAGTGGGTTATCCTGTGTGGGAGATGTTGCTGGTTTTCAAGAGTGGACGTTGCTGTGTCTGTTCTTCCCGTGCTTTCTCAGGGGGTGTCCTGTTTGTCCCCAGCTGCTGCAGAGGTTCAACACTGGTGCTCTGAGCTGCTGCACCAGTTCTTTAGTACTTCAAGCTTTTATTTAAATGTGTATTTTGGATTTTTTTTTTTTTTTTTTTGGTGAAAAGCGAATCTTATATTTGCTGTATTTTGTTTTCATTAACACCATCTTAGTTGTGCACATTTTATTGGTGTTAAAACATTTTGCTTTCGTGTTCGATGACAAAATGCTCCTAGATTTTAATTTTCATCTTCTGGAATTCTTATGTTGCCCTGGCATTATCAAACCGCTAATTAATTTTCAGGCTTATGCTTTTGCAGGTGAAGTAGAAGAGAATTTGTAGCTCCTTGAAATACCTCTGCTTTGAGGCATGTCAGGATTGCAACTAATAGTGGTAGTACTTAGTATTAATCTAGAAGCAAAATCATTCAATTTTTTATTTTCCAATGCTTTTGCCTCCCACTGAGTATTTAAATGAATTAAAATGTCTGTTGGGTTCAATTGTACTGTCTTAATAAGTATTTTTTATGTTTGTAAGCAACATGAGCATTTATTCTTCGTTAGTATAGCTTTCAATTTTACATCCACCAAAAGGGACAGCATTTTTTTAACTGGGTGTTGTAAACTGTGCCAGGATTGATTCTTGCATTCACTTAGTTTATACATAGAATATATTAGGTTAGCTGGAATTGTTAATTTTCCCTTGGGGAGAAGCAAATGCTCAAGGCACTGATTGATAAATCAATAAATCTTTAGTGAGTTTGGTAAATAAGCTGTCAAGGGTGTATGTCATTTTTCCTCTAGAGAACAAATTTTAGTCAGAATGAATGTGTTTGTTTCCTTGCATTGTTTTCTCCTTCAAAATAGTAAGACACAAAGCTGCATTTAAATAAGTCCATAAAATTTGCAAGGATTTATTAAACAGCAGCAAAGATCAAGCTTTTTCTTGATATCTTAACAAAGAATTCGGTTGTTTGCATATTTGCATTTCAACCCCTAACCTCTCCTGAGGACAAATAGATGTCTGACTATTAAGCCTGAAGGCACAGAGCTGGAAATCTGTATTAATCCTCTGAATGCTGACTAGTTTTCCTCAACATTCCCAGCGTGTGTGAAGAATGTGTTTTTAGCCAGAAGGCAAACTGGCATCTAAAGCAAAGCAAGAATTTTGAAAAATAGTTGTGTTATGTATAAATTTATTTTGCCCTTAGTGTTTTATTATTGCATATTTGTTTCATTATTTTACATTCTGCCTTCTTTAAAATAACTTCTTTGAGCTTTTTCACTTCTGTGAGTGAAGTGTTGGTCACTAGAAACAGAAATTTTGAACTTTGTTATTTTCTTTTTTTTTTTTTCTCCTTTTTTTTAAATTCTGGACTGGGGGAGATACAAGATGAAATTACATAAAAGATGTAGCAATTAAGAACTTTGCAAATTTATAGCTTAGCCTTTAATGTCAGCACGTATTAATGAAGTGTAAGGCTGCTTCCATGCACTGGGCATTACAGCAGCTGTTCTGTGAGGCAGTTTTCAACCCCAGACTTCTCCTGCAATGTGAAGTTTCACTTGTGGAGTTTTATGTCAACCTTTTTATGTATTAAAATTTATCATTGCTAAATTTTCTGGAGAGAACGACAGACAATCCACCTGGTTGCCTTTTCAACTGTGTTAATGCCTAAGGATGAAATTTGAGTTCCATCTTTAGTAATTTTTTTCTGCTTGTGCCACAAGCAGAGATCCAGAGTTAGATTGGCACCATAACAGTCCAGATGGAGGTGTCTGTAGTTGGGATAACCAGGAGTCCCACTGAAGTCTTGTGGGCCTGTGTTTTTGTCTGCAGCTGCTGGGAACCTCAGCAACTCATCTGGTGACCCCAGAGCTCCCACTGCCAAAGCCTTCCACTGATGAAGGTGAAAGCAGCAACCCCTCAAGTAATTCCTACCCATAGTTCAGACAGTGGCCAGTATAAAGAACTAGTGGAATCATTTGTCCCTTGTACTGGAACAGAATAATTTCATTTGGAAGGGCCCTTGGGAGGTCAGCTGGTCCAGCTTCAGGCTGGGAGCAGGGTTGGTTGGGCTGGCTACTGGTCCAGCTCTGCAGGTCTCCAAGGATGGAGTGGCAGGTTTGGACTCCTGTGTTATCCCCCCACAGCTGGAGTGCACTGAGATCCTGGCACTGCCTGCCAAGTAAGGCAGGAGCTGGGAGATCGTTCCCCACTGTGTGAGCTGATGACCTGTTTGGTTTGCCAGTCAGCCAGTGCTCCTTCCTCTTCACAGCAGCCTTTCTTTGTCTGAAAGGGTATTTTGAAGTTCCATCTCTCGGAGTCTGTCACTGTTAGGTTTTGTACAGCCAATGGGATGGGCTTTTTTTATTCCAGAGGTAGTTCTGTGAAGTGTCTGGGAACATTTGAAGCTGATCTTAGCACCTGTATTTCATTCTTCTGACTGGCTGCACTTTAAGGAAGAGTCTACCTGGGAATAAAAAAATTGTTTTCAGACCTTCTTTGCCTAGCCAAAATAAATTGTTGTCTAGCATTCTGTTTTCATTTTTAAAAAGAAAAGTTTAATAACACAGCTTGGACAAAATGCCTCAAAATGCATGATGTTACATCTGATGACGTGCAAGGCAACTTGCCCTTTAAAGGAGTGATAGAACTCTAATGTAGATGTTAAGAGGATAACTTCAAAGTTTTCATCTCAGAATGGTATGTGACAAAACCTTAGCCTATAAGTTTCTTTGTTGTTCCAAATAAATATTTCAAGCTGCAAGGTGGCTGTGTATTTCTTCCATATATTTCAAAATAAAGAAAAATGCTGACCATGAATGTGGTATGTTCTGTCATCCCTTTTGCTCATCAGTGACAAGATTCCACATAGACCATAAATGAATTGTGTGACAAAGCAGTATTAGGGACAAATTCCAAATTAAAGCTTGAAAGTCAGAATAAGCATTAAATTAATGTGGAAATAGGATTTATGCCATTATAAAATATATTATAATTGTGACTGTTACAGTAATTCCAAGTCACTTGTTGTTGATCTCTGACTGTGTGATCCATGGATTTGTAGCCATTCTCAGAGTCTTGCATGTGTGTAGGGACTTTGTCCTAACAATGTGCAATTTTCCTTTTAAAGGAGAGGGGAATCAATAGTCTGATGTTGTCTCAGTTGCTTTATGTACTCTTCTGACTTATTTGGGAGCAGTTCAGTATTGCAGTTTTGGGACAGCATTGACTCAGAGTAAGAAAAGAACAGAACAGTGTGCAATCAGTGTTACCAGATTTTTATAATGGCTTGTCTTAGTTTCAACAAAATCTGAAACATTTTACAGAGAACTGTGAATACTTTGGGTTTTCTTGCTTATATTCAGATAAGATTTTTTTTTTTAAACTTTGTGATTGCATGAGTGTTTTTAATGAAGAGGAAAGGGAGAGGTGCTACATGAGGTGCAATATAGGAGGAAGAGTTGGACTCTTGGACTGCTTTAAGATGGAGCTTGTGTTTGGAGGGAGCTGGAGCACCCATACTGTCTTCTTAAAAATATCTCGCGTGTTGGAATGTTAAATTTACCCCTGTGAGACTAAGAATTTAATTCAATCAAACCCAGAAGTATTTATTGAAATAGTAGAACTAGTACAGGCAAAACAATATCTGCCAAGAAACATGAAATTGTTAAATACTGTGCTCTGATGGAGAGGCAAACACAGACAGCAATCCTCAGTCCAGACGACCACTGGATGGCATCTTTGTTCCACAGAATGACTTCTGAAAACTCACTCATTGGGCTTAAAAGTTCACTTTTATAGCACATTGTTTGGTGAGAATGCCAGCCCTCTTTATATACAGATGTGTGTGTTTCAGTATCCAAACCAAAGCTCATTTGCATGATGAGGTTCCTCAAAGTAAAACAGTTTTTCTGGTCAGACTGAAAAAATCAGAGTCCCAGCTGTGATTAAAACATTTCTTACTTGTCTTCCATGTAATACAGAACCTAAAAGATCTCTTCACACATAGTAGGTTTCAGGGATGGAAGGAAATGATTCTGTCCAGGAGTTCCAGTAATGATCTTTGTAAATGCTACTGCATTGGTTTTGATAATTTCATTGAAATCCTGGCTTGTGCTCAAATTAATGATCTGCTTTTCATTTCAGAAAATATTTGCTTATTTCTAATGGCATTGCAGATTTTAAATTAAAATTAGAGTAGCTGAACTGCTGAACAGGAGGGAGGTAAAAGATTGACTATACTTTATTAATCTATTCAGTAAAAGGAGAGATAACTATAAATTCTTTTAAAATTGTGCGCCGAGTGGGACGTTCCACACGGAGCTGTGATGCCTCGTGGAGGCCCTGGGACCCCCCTGTTGGGGAGAAAAGAGAACATGGCCAGAGGGCTGGAGCAGCTCTGCTGGGAGGAAAGGCTGGGACAATTGGGATTGTTCAGCCTGGAGAAGAGGAGCTTTGGGTGACCTGACTGGGGCCTTGCAGTGCCTGAAGGAGCTACAGGGAAGATGGAGAGAGAGAGCATTTGCAAGAGCCTGGAGGGAAAGGACAAGTGGGAATGGCTTCAAACTGCCAGAGGGCAGAGTTAGATGGGATATTGGGAAAAAATCCTTCCCTGTGAGGGTGGGGAGGCCCTGGCCCAGGTTGCCCAGAGAGGTTGTGGACTCCCTGTCGCTGGAAGTGTCCAAGGCCAGGATGGACGGGGCTTGGAGCAGCCTGGGATAGTGGAAGGTGTCCCTGCTCATGGCAGGGGGTGGAACTAAATGAGCTTTAAGGTTCCTTCCAACCCAGCCCATTCTATGATTTTGCAACACTGTTCTCTGGAATTTCATTCTAAGAGAAGAAATCAAGTGCTGAACAGTCATGGGCAATAACAGAATTCATTTGTGTAGCATTTTGATGACAGTCTTTGTAAAATTTTCCATTTCCTTCCTCAAGTGTTCAGCACATTTCTGCAGGTTCATACCATCAAAAATCCCTTCTTGACCTCTTCCACTGAAGAAAACAAAACCAGGATCTGACAAACCACAAAAGTCTTCCACCAAACTTGGCAGCTCTAGTGCAGATAACAGGGAAAGTATGGGAGGACAGGGAGGACCTAAATTATGGATTTCTGGATTTCCCTCCTTTTATTCTCAGACCTTACTTGCAGCTTTTGGTTTTTTCTTCGATGTTAAGCTTTTTACAAGTGACAAAGTAAAGTATTCGAGGGTGCATAGGACAATATCTATGTAATTTAAAAATAATATTTAAAATTAGCCATTTGTTTGTTTACTTTATACAGTAGTAGGAGTCAGGACTTTTCCATATATATATTCTCAAAGGTTGTGTAATCACTGGTAGAATATGTTGAAATACAGTGTTTGTGTCAGTAATAGCCCCAGAACAGAATGTGCTGAATACAGATGGCTGTTTCCACAGCTCTGAGTCATACCTTGTGCAGGGAGGAGGGGAAAGATGCTTGGGAGATACAGGTGTGGAAACTCAAATTTATTGGTACTTTCTCAAGCTGTTGGGAAGGGTATCCAGGGCTAAAAATGGCATGGGAAGTGCTATCTTCTTCTCAAATGCAGCTCGTTTTTTTAAAATTGTTGACACATTCAGCTGATTCTTGTGTGTTGCCAGAGAAAATACCATCACATGCTCAAACACACCTGGAACCCAGGCTTACCTGTGAACTCTTCATTGTCACAGAACCTTCCCTGGCTCTTCCTGAAAATGCATTGGTGCCCATTTTGGTAGGCACTTGTGGAACAGTGCAGGATTATAAATCCATGGTTTTGCTTTTAATTTCTCCTGGCGGGGGGGGTGTATTTATTTTACCATCTTACTCCTAGTTTTCATTACAAATGCATTGTCATCAGTGGTGATCATTGCCTTGAGTTTGCTGACCATCCTGGTTTCACTGGTACCACTGACTCTCAGGTGACCTCCCCTCTGTCACACCTTCTGGTAACACTCAAATTGTCCCGCTCCTAAAGTGTTCCTGGTGCAGTCAGAGAAATACTCAGTCATTTCTGACTCTAAAACACATCCTGTGAAAATGGAGACACCGCTGGTTGTGCCTGAGCTCGGCCCAGCCCCTGGGGGCACGTAGAGCAGCAGATGGTCCTCAAAGTGAACGTATTACATGCAGAATTTTTTTTTTTTTTTTTTGGCTTTTTCTGTTTCATTGCAGAGACGATGATGACATCAACGACGTTGCCTCCATGGCTGGTGTTAATCTCAACGAAGAGAGTGCCCGAATCATGGCCAGCAACTCGGACTTGGTGGGAAGCCAGATGCAGTCCTGTAAAGATGAGCCCTTCCTCGCTGCTGTCCCTCTGCACAAACGCATCCTCGAAACGGGTGAGAGGCACCTCTTTCCTTCTGCCAGTGCTTCCTTCAGAGTTCTGTGCTCCTCACTAACACAACATGCTCAGCACTTAAGGGTGTTTCTAAGTGTTTGATTACACAGTCTTTGTATTGCTGAACTTCCAAGGTTTCTCTGATAAAAGCAACTTACCTCAAGTTGGGGGGAAAAAAAAAGAAAATAGAGTGCTGGTGCTTTTAAACTTCATGCTTTTCCCATGTTTTTTTGTATCTGAGGATCTCAAAGCTCTTTGCAAACATTAATTATTCCTCACAATCCTCCTTCATGTTTTGCACATGAGAAGATTGAAACAGAGAGGTGAAGGAAGTAGTACAGGTCACAGAGGACACCTGTGAATAACATTTAACAGAATGTTGAAGTTCCCTGTCAAGATTTTCTTGCCCCATCCAAACCAGTTATTCAGTTCTTAACACCTGCATCTACTGAAGTTCGTAGTGATTTTCTTACGGCATTTTTTCCAAAAGCTGTATTTATTTTATCGTGGCAAAAAGGTGTATTTATTTCTGCCATTTGAAGAAGGAAGTTAAAAAATTTAGTAGAGTAACCCTTCAAAATCAGTGATGTTTTAAGGTTAGGATGTATGCTTAGAATGTATTTCTTATGACATACTTCATTAATATACTCTGTCTGTTCTAATACCTAAATGTGTACTTTTCAGCATAATTTTGGTAATGTTTTCAGTGCCATCAGTGTCATCAGATGCGAAGCTCAAATTATTTAACAGTGTAAATCACATATTTCTATCAGACCTTTGCTTACATCACAAACTTCTAGGGATCCGTTTCTCATAGTTTTAAAGATAAGACCAAATTTCTGTTGCAGATCAGTACAGTATTTTTTTTGAAGTCATGTGGTTGCTTCTGAACTGTTATTTGTGTTTATGTTCATGGAATTAATGGGAGCCTTTTTATATTGCAGTTGCAGGCGAGTTCTTCACTGACTTATTGTCAGCCCTCACTCCTGTACTTCCAAAAATGCCCTTTTAAGTTCCCCCTTCAGAGAAGGGAGTTGTGTTGCTGTAGTTATCGCTGGCTGATGTGATGATGGGATGATGTGGTGTGGGGAGGTGTGTGCAGCAATCCGTGAGCTGCCTTCCCACCCCCTGGCCCTGGCAGCCAGCAAGGGCTGCGTGAAGAGTGTTTGACAAACAAATCCTCACACAATAGTTGGTACAGGTGTAAGGGAACAGACATAAAACTGTTTTAAAAAAATGGGAAATCAGTAATGAATTTGCCACATAAGCCCTAATGAGCTGTCTGGGTGTAACAATTGCTGCACAACATGAAGCTGTAATTACAAGTGCAGGACTTACAGGAATCTGTACATACTTCAAGAGCCACAGAACCCATCACACTATTCATCACCGCCTTTTGGGGTTTGCTCCTCTGAGGAACAAATCCCTATGGCTGTTTCTGAAGCTTTATTGGCTTTGATAATTGAAATGAAACTTTCAAAGCTTTTAAAAGCAGCTGCAGGGATTTACTTCTCAAAAGCAGCGCATCCAGAAGAGCGGCCACTCCTAGTGATCTCCTGCAGCCACTTTTAGAGCTTTATTTTGGCTTTACATGAAGCCTTTTATAGTTTGGAAAGTGGCTGTGGGGTTCACAAGTGGGCTACTATCTGGGATCTATGGCTCTTGAGGAGAGAATTCCTTCAGCTTGATTTTGAAGTTTTAGAAGCTTGGTTTTCACTGTGTGTGGCCAGATTTGTTGTTTGCTTAGGACCACACACAAATTTAGTAGTTTGTGCTACTGGGCACTTAAAATAACGACACTGTAAGGCCATGACAAAGCTCAGTCTTGCCATATGTGGCTGTGCCTGGACACACCAGGGCTAAGCAAAGCTCCTGTGACCTTCTCAAGCCCATTAGGAAAACGTGTGTTATGGGAGTCCTCGTTCTTCTGTTTTCATTGTGCCCGCTGACAAATGCCACAAAACACACTGTTTGTTCTTACTTTTACCTGAATATGACTTAAACAGATGTTATTTTGTAGCTTTGGATCTGTTCATGTTTAATCACTTTAGTTTTAGGGCAGGTTTTTAGTGTTTGAGTAAAAGAGAGGTTTGTGGTGTGTACGGTGTTAGGAAACTGCTCCTCTCTCCTTTCTCAGAAGCCAGACCTTTCAAGTTTTCTGTAATATTAATCTCCTCCTCTCTTTTCTGAGTAAGAGCTCTGTCAAGCAACTCAGTAGTGTTCCCCAAAGGCTGTTTCAGAGATTGTGCTTCCATTCACCAGAGCTGGAATATAAACTGCTAAAGTGAGAGCAGATGCTCTTCAGACTTTGGCAGTAACCACCAGCCAGATGCCTCAAAGTTATAGTGAAAGAGGTTTCTTAATATATTGCATGTTCTTATCTCTGCTTTAACTTGGCACTGTTACCATCCAAAGTTTATTTTAAATCTAAGTGACTAATATTGATCCTTCTAAATGGAAGAAGTAACTGAAAGGTAATGCATGCAAAGATATTCATCCACTTCCCACCTTATCCAATTTTGTATCTAGTCATTTTGGGCAGGTAATCATTTGTTCCTGTAGGAAGGCAGGGCTGTGACTGTTTCAGATTCTTCTTTGATGCAAAATCAAGAGTGGGTATTTCTCAGCAGATAACGTATTGCTTTTGCTATTCCATTCAGGATCATGAAACTTTAAACCCTGATCTTTCTACATGACAGCACAGCACAGTGAAACATATGCAAAAAAAGGGTTGTGAGGCTTTTGTTTCTCTTTTGGGGAAGTTGAGAGGCAGAGGTTGATATTCATCGTGCATGTGCATGCAAACTCTTAAACCTTTCTGGGTCTTTAACCTTGTTAGCAGAATGAGTAGTGTTTCTTTAGAGGGCAAACAAGCTGATTAGACCCCGACAAATAAATAATGCTGACAAATCCTGGCTTTTCCATGGGGTTTTGTAGGAATGAAATGAGAAAAATAACCTTAATAATTTGTAATTGTTTCACTTTTGTTCATTCTTAAGCTGTAAGAATGCCGTGTTAGGTTTTAGAGGCTGGTTTTTGACACTGAGTTTTCACTGTTTACCCAGTGGGGCAGCACTCAGTAAAGCAGGTTGTGTGAAGTGTGACAGTTTTCTCTGGTTTGTAACCATCCTGTGAAATCCTTGGCTCGGGAATTACTTGATTACAGTATTGTTTCTGAGCACAGATAAGAACTGGGCTGCACTGCATTTGATATTAAATATTAGTGAAAGGTAGCAGGACATAGCAAAGGGTGGGATAACAGATGATCCTTTTTATAATGCCTGGTAACTAAATCTGTGGAAAAAGGGAACAGCTCTGCCATGTGCTTTTCTGGAAGGTCTTTTGACTGAGAGTTGGGGTCTCTAGAACCTTCACTTGGGGTTCCAAAAATCTTTGCTTTATGTTTAGTTGTCAACAGAGCTCGGTGTTCTCACAGGCTTAGAATCTGCAGCAGCTTGTTAACTCCCACACCTTTTAATTCTGACTGATTCCTTCCACAGATGATGCCATTTTGATTTTATTGAGTATCCCTAAAACTCACAACTTGGGGTGGATCTTAACCATAAATTAACTGTCCTAATGCAATACTAATGGAGCAGAGGTCTGGCATGCTGTATTCTTTGACTGAGATTATTTCTTTCTCTTTTTCTCTTCATTTTCAGTGTTCTTCACCCACTTTTTCTACTCCGCTTTTATTGTTACAGAGCACTGGCTGAATAGAATAATAACAAATGTGGCATTCTGAGAAATGTGGGACTGGTTTGGTCATACTGAAAACATTTTAACTGTCCATCCTTTATCTTCAAGTTGTTTTAACTTAAATATGCTAAAAATTCATTGGAAAATCATCAATTATATTTTTATTTCACATTCATTCAGAGTATTTTACGTCTGCATTAAGAAATCAAATTTTCTGTAGCGTGATTTTACAAAATATTGTCTTTATGTTTGTTATCTAGCATTGTTATAAATTTCCTTTGGAAGAAGTCTGTTCTCTTGATAACATAGCATACATCTGCAGTATTTCCTACCACAAACTTAGAACTGGCTTCTCTTACTTCATACAAAGAGATTTTTAGGCTGGAACACACGGAGTGGTGCATACCAGTTATTATGAAGCTTGAAAATGGGCTGATGAATCCAAAGTCTCCCAGTTCAGTAGTCAAGAGGCCTACAGTGTTCCTTAAAGCAGTTCAGGGAAGCTTGGCTTGGTAGAATTACGCCACTGTCCCTATCAATGTAACAGTTCTAGGGTTAGCTCAACATAATTTATAGATTTACCTTTTTATTCTTTTACATGTAAAATATTTTTTATTTCTCTCTGATGAAATACTGGTCATTGTCCTGCCTCGATTCTTTCTTTGTTCAGCCACACTGGAGTTGCATGTCTGCTGTAAAACTGCAGGTTAAAACTTCCAGAAATGGCTTGTCTGTGTTCCCTGTGTCCTGGAGTGTACTGAATCTGCAGTGTGGCATCACAGTGGCAGCAGTTGTCTGCATGTGTCTATATTCTGAATAAACAACTTGAACACTCTGGAAGGCATTTTTGTTTTGCTAAACCACGTTAAAACCTACTGGGGTACCTTTGGTGGAACCAGGCCAGGAGATTTCAGAGCCTCTCTCTAAAGCAGTTGTTGGTAGTTCTGCCATCCCCCTTTGGTGGGTTTGTTTGCCAACACTTGTGTTCGTGTTCCAGTGAGATGACACTGCCCTGGTTGTGCCTGCTCTTTCATATCCAGAGCAGCTCTGACATTAAAGTGTGCTTATTTCTCTGGTTGCTGTATTTTAGAGGGCTTTTATAGCTGCTTTCATTGCAGTGCTTGTGGGGTCTGAAATTCTGAGCTCTCTGATTGCCTGGGAGTGGAATTTTGTGTTTTCACTGCACTTGTCGTTGTGACTTGGTCGTTTTCATTGCTGACTTTTAACTTTATATCCACGAGTTGATTTGTCTTCAAACTGAAAGATTTGTTTTAATCCCATTTTTTCCATCAGCATCTTTCT